CTCTTTCTTTCTTTCTTTCTTTCTTTCTCTCCCTCCCTCCCTTCCCTCCCCTCCCTTCTCTCTCTCTCTTTCTCTCTTCCTCCCTCCTTCCCTCCCTCCCTCCCTCTCTCTCTTTTTCTCTCTTTCTTTCTTTCTTTCTCTCTCTTTCTTTCTTTCTGTCATGGGGCTTGAACTCAGGGCCTGTGAACTGTCCCTGAGCTTCTTTTTGCTCAAAGCTGGCACTGTACCACTTGAGCTACAGCACCACCTCTGGCTTTTTCTGTTTATATGGTACTGAGAAATCAAACCCAGGGTTTCCTACATGCTAGGCAAGCACTCTACCATTAAGCCATATTCCCACATTAAAGCTAGTTTGAACAGAATTTTAAAAGCACCAAGTATTTGCCTGAGCTGCAGGAAAAACAAATTACCCCCCTCCCCCCAATTTCTACAGTATGCCCTTCCCACCAAAGAAGGCAACCCAACTTCAAAGGCCAGTGCTCTGAAATGAAGGCATAGTTAAAAAATGATGGACAAAAAAGGCTAAGGTTTAACTGCAAGTTGTTAGCCCTAACAGTACTGATATAGTTTGAAGCTTTTACACTTTGCCCTGAAAAATAGTGAAAATTATTTCCCCAGACTTCCTAGAAAGCGTTTGTTAAGGGGGGCAGATAGTAATGTCACAACTCCCTGCTAAATTTGGAAACATTATGGCTGGGAACCAAACTGACTAACTGGGACAGATGGAGTTCTCCAGAGCTGGGTTTTCCCAAAGCAGGTCTGGGAAGAGTAGTTTGCCTACTTAGTGACCCTGTGTACCCTTGCTAATACTCTCTCCCTCCCTTCCTCCCTCCCTCCCCCCCCAAACTCCCTCTCTCTCCCCCCTCTCTCTCCCCCTCACTCCCCCTCTCCCCCTTTCTCTCCCCCCTCTGTTCCCCCCTATTTTTCCTGCGATTGGGTCAGGAAAACTCCAGATTATCCATTGGTTTGCATTTTCTTGGTGTTCCCTTTCTAGATGGTTTGAAGGGGTTGAGGTTGTTCTGTGTTTTTGAAAGTTCTCTGCTTTTTATATCTGAACTCTCTGGAGTAAATGACACAAATCACTTTCAACTAAAACTCCCCACACCTGTGAAATGTAATATTTTAGTGAGAATTTGCATTTCTCATTTACCTTATCTGCTGTGTTTAGGATGCTGCACAGAAATAGGAGTTGATGGCGCAAAAATAATCTTTTCCTCCCCATTTACGCATCCAATTGGCAAACCCACTGTTCCAAATTAAACCCAGTCACTTAGATCATAAAATTTAAACTCTGGAAAGCACCTCTGGAACCTGCCATCCTGGTTCATTTTTCATTTATTTATTTAGTGAAGCACTCAAAAGGTTGTCAAGAGCATTCCTAAATTAAGATAATACAATCTTTGCATACATTTGGAAAACAGAGAAATACAAAGAAAATAATTTCCCATTATTATAATTTCATCAATATGCAATAGTATCCATAAACTTTGTTTTTCCTCCTCTCTATTCTCTTCTTGTTTTCCTATTTCTCTTCCTTCCTTTTTAAAATCTCTCTCTCTCTTTCACACACACACACACACACACACACACACTTACACTAGTCCTTTCAACATGGCATCCTGCTCTGTAACCTCTGTAACCTGTTCCCCCCCCAGTTTACTATATGTGAACATAATTTTCATGTTATTACATTATCAACAATGATTTTTTTTAAAGACACAAACATCAAATGAGGAAATCTGCCTGTTGCTAGCCTGCACCAAGCTTATGTTAAACGAAGGGAGTGAGCAGAGAAGAAAAACCTTTTGTGAGAAGAATGAATCCACAGTGTTATGTTGGCATCCCTTCCCTCTGGATCACACTGAAAACAGAGAGGACAGGGAAAGAGGAGGGAGGGGCTGCGGTGCCCTCAGCAGTGGGGCTCTTTACATTGCCTGCCTTGTTTTGCAGTTCAGCACCGGAGGACACAAGCCAGCCATCTGGCTAGATGCTGGGATCCATGCTCGAGAGTGGGTTACACAAGCTACTGCACTGTGGACCGCAAATAAGGTCATTTTGCCTAGAATCCCTCACTTTGTCTTTCTGGGGTCAGGCTTAGAAAGCAAGCACACAATAGACCCTTAGGGTTGGCTGGCACTCTCAGCCAAGCCCTTCTCTTACCACACAGAAAACAGAAAACAGACCCAGCCAACCTTTTTTGGTATTGTCCCATCGGGGGACCGTGGCACTGTGTCTCTGGGCCTACCATTGGGCTCTCAGTTAAAAAAAGACACAACAAGCTAGAGAGATGGAAGGAGGGGAGGCAAGTGAGGCAGACCCTAGGGTGAGATTTTAGTGGAAGAACAGATTTGAGAAAAATCCTTGTTGCTTGGAGCTCTGAGGGCTGAGGCCTAAGATGCTAGCAATCTATACAGTCATGAAGGGAGGCTCAGATGGAAAATAAAAACAGGTATAAGAACAGTTTACTTTGACCTACAGACCCGAAGTGGAACTAGGGTGTTTGGGTTGTTGTGAATAGTTCCCAAATCTGATGTTGAAGTCGAGATGTAGCAATATCTTTCTTCCACATGTTTATTGGCACAAGAGTCAAGACATGGGGCTGGGTGTGACTTAGTCTGGTATTTCTTAAGTAATTAAAAAATGACATGCTATAAATCAGAATGTTAATTCATGAGCAAAGGAAATCAATCCACATCAGATCATTCAAGCATGTGCAACCACGTGCATACTGACTGATACATTTTTCCCTTCAATTAAAATGCGCTTACCTTTAGGGTATTATGAAATGGATATTTAACAGTTGAATAATAATGCCTTAGGATGGCTGAGCACAGGAAATGAATAAATTTTAATCCAGCAGAAACTTCAACTCTACTGCAATTGATTACAAGTAGAATGTAATTCCCTTGAATAGAATTTAACTGGTTCTCTGCATCTTTAGCAAAGTCCTCACTTATTTACATAGTTGGTACTGAGTTCTTTTGGAAAGTTACCGTGAGTGAGGATTAAGGAATATTAAAAAACTTTTTTCTTTTGTTCATAGTTTGCCATCAACCAGCCATACATAGCATTGCTCACCATTTCAGACATTTCACCTGAATTAATAAGTAGAAGGCTACTGCTTTTGAGAGAGATTGGATCTGTGCTCACTCATTTTTACTTCATATAAGTAAATTATTGTGACTGGAATGAAAGTATACACATTGGTATGTCTGACATATTAACATGGGGAGGAAGGAAGGTAGGAGAGGTGATATTGATGAAGATGCATTGTGCTCACAAATTGGCATGCTGATTTGAAATATTTTGTAGAACTATTTAAAGATAATTTACAAAATAAACATATTAACATTGCTGGAAGACTGGATGGCCGTGTATCAACAGTGATCTCTAGTTCACATTTAGAAAAAGACATGTCGTCTTAATTGTCTGTCCTGTGTTCCCCAGCAAAAGGAGAGTGTGAGACTCACATGTCTGTGTCTCTGCTTAGATTGCCTCTGATTATGGAAGAGATCCATCCATCACTTCTATTCTGGATACCATGGATATCTTCCTGTTGCCTGTTACAAACCCTGATGGATATGTGTTCTCTCACACCACCGTAAGCCTGGATTGCTTTTTTTCCTCCTTCTTCCACAAGGACTTAGGGAGATGTGTAGGAACTTCAAAAAACAAATAAAAGTCATCTTTCTGTTCTTGATTTACTCTAAACAGAATGCGTAATCTCTCAGTAGTGGCTCTGAAATGAGGCATAGAGAGGTGTTTATAGTCATTTTTTATTCTAACACATGATGTCTTTACATGTCATCTCAGCTGGAGCTCATTTCAGCTGTTAGGCTGGGCTATTAGAGCACAGTATTCACTGTGAGTCACCTAGGAGATTTGTTCCAATTATCTCTGCTCTGGTTGTGTGTGTGTGTGTGTGTGTGTGTGTGTGGTAGAATTGATAGAAAAGAGGTGGCGGATGTTACCTGCTGACAGTTAGATTGCAGTAGGATTTAGGTAGGCAGCACAATGCATCCTAGCGTTTTACTTAGAATCTAGAAGAAATCCACAGTTACATCTCTAAAAGGAGTTAGACAGGATTTTTTCCCCTTTTAAAAAAATCTCATTACAAAATACAATTGTGGCAATTGTGACCCTTCATGTATTTGAAATGAATCAGAGCTTCAAGTGTATTCTTGTAGAGCACTGATGACGGCAGTAGCACTGTCAAAGAAACTCATACTAATACTTGTACTCATTGTGTGAGATAGATAGCATGTGAACAAAGGGCTTCACAGGCAGGTCTAGGAGATGCTGCCCATCATGTTCTTCTAAGAGGGTCATAAAAAGCATTAAAATATGAAGAAATCTTTGCAATTCTGCAGTAACCTCACCAATTCAGCCTTACCTTTTCAATAACTATTCTGCCACAAAACTCTCTCCTTACTTTAATTGTGTGTGTGTGTGTGAGAGAGAGAGAGACAGACAGACAGACACAGAGAGAGAGAAAGACACACACACAGTATTAAGGCTTGAATTCAGGATCTGGGTCCTGTCCCTTGGCTTTTTGGCTCTAGGCAGGTGCTCTACCACTGGAGCCACAACTCCACTTCTAGCTTTTTGGTGGTTTGTTGGAGATAAGAATCTCAGTTGGTCTACTTCAGCTGGCTTTGAACTGCAATCCTCAGATCTCAACTTTCTGTAACTAGATTACAGGTGTGACCTATAGGCAGTGGGCCCCTTTGGCTTTTTTGTTGTGGTACTTGCTAACATTTAACAGAACAAGTGTTTTATGGTACATGGTCTGAGAAGTGTTTCTTTCAGAAGATAAGAGAAAACCTATACCTCTGAGGTCAAAGGTAATGAGTGCAACTAGAAGGGGGCTTCCTGCTAGGAAGCAAAGAAAGGAACAATGTAAAAAGGGCTGTCTTTCTCATTGGACTAAATGAATATCTTCCTTGTTTTCTGTATCTTTTTTTTTTCCTTTAAAGAATCGTATGTGGAGAAAGACCCGATCCAAGGTGGCTGGCAGCCGCTGTGTTGGTGTGGATCCTAACCGGAACTGGGATGCAGGTTTTGGAGGTAAACACAGGGAGTTATCCTCAGGGATGGTCAGATTGTTGTCTGGCCAGCTAGCTGGTTCACAGAGCTCTGCAGTGCGTCTCCCTGCTCAGTCCACTTAAGATTCAAGCTATAAAAAAACCTCCTTGAAAAACACTCCACTAAATTCTCTTCAGAGGAGCGCAAGACTGTCACAGAGCTCTGAGCAGCATTTAATATATTTTATCTCACATCTTGGTTTTCCCACAAGCTGTAGCAGCAAAGGAGGGTTTGGCTTCTGAGCTGGGAAAGCCAGATTTTGCACAATGGCGGGAGCTCAGGAAGCTGTGCACCAACCACTAGAGGGGGTTAAGATCTATTTGGAGGAGAAGCATTACATCATCGATGGGTGCTTCGAGAAGGAAAATTTATAAAAGAGGCACAAATAGGATTAAGAAATTGATTGGAAATCAAAACATTAGCTTGCTGTTCTGATTTTGTTGACTTGTAGCTCTTCTGCTTTGGGGGATTGGAATTTGTTTGGTTTTTCTTCACTAGCCCACAATTACAGGGAGTAGAGGAGCTGGGTTGTTTTCTCTGTGGCATTCCTAACACAGAATCTGCAACATAGAAGGCAATCATTCAACATTTGTAAAAGAAATGAATGAATGAGAGCTATGGAACTGAGACAGGACGCATTAGGGAATTGGTGACAGAATAAGCCTGAGTGGTAACTTTGTTCATTGTTTATGTAATTTCTTTCTTTCTTTTTGCATAGGGGAAAAAGTAATCAAATTACTAGACAAAAAATACTGAACAATGCCCAGTAATTCAATGCCATTTTCCCCTCAGAATGTTATCCTTTTTAGTGTGTGTGTGTGTGTGTGTGTGTGTGTGTGTGTGTGTACTGAAGTTAGAACTCAGTGCCTTGCATTCTTGTTTGGCTTTTCACTCTAGGCTGGCACTCTACCCATTTCAGCCACACTTCCATTTCTGGCTTTTTGCTAATTACTTAGAAATCAGAGTCTCTTAGAGTTATCTGCCTGGGTTTATTTCAAACTAGAATCCTCAGACCTCAGCATCCCAAGTAGCTAGAATTACAAGTATGACCCACTGGCACCAGGCACAGAATATTCTTCTTCTTCTTTTTTTGTTTTTTGGTCAGTTGTGGAGCCTGAACTCTGGGCCTGGGCACTGTCCCTCAGCTCTTCAACTCAAGGCTAGCACTCTACCACTTGAGCCACAGCGCCACCTCCGGCTTTTTCTGTTTATGTGGTGCTGAGGGAAGAATCGAACCCAGGGCCTCATGCATGCAAGGCAAGCACTCTACCACTGAGCCACCTTCCCAGCCCCCCAGAATATTATTCTCATTAAATAATTTTAACATAAGATGACAGAGGTGGTATGTACGCTTTCATATAAGGTAGAGAGAGCTTTAAGCTCTGCCGCTAACAGTTCCCCTGGCATTCAAAGCCCCTGCAGGCCTACAGTGACCCACCCCACTTAGTGATCTTGAGCAACTCTGGCTGTGGAGAGAATCAGGGCCAATGGTGGCCGTATCAAATGTGTTTGTGATTTCCTCACCACAGAAAGGGTGTCAGAGGTTCCTTGCATTTGTGGCTTTGTGACTTGGAAATACAGATGCATAGAAACTTCTACTCTTGGACTCTACAAATTGGAAGATATCCCAGAAAAATGAATGTGATAAACTCCCACCCAAATGGAGGAATTTCATCTATAATATTAAATTTAGCTTCCTTTCCAACAATTCCCATTGAGAGGAGATGATCTAATGGGATAGTTCTTTCTGCCATATAGAAGAAGCATATTTTTAAAAGAAAAGATGTGTCCAGAATCATTTCTGTTAGGATTCTATACTGTGCCCTTTCAAAGAGACTTCATCTAACACAATGATAATCTTGCTCTGATTTCTAGAGGTAGAATTTATTGGTGGAATTATTTAAAGTTCACTGTCCTTTTGAGCTTTTTCTGCCTCTCACCAGGACCTGGAGCCAGTAGCAGCCCTTGCTCTGATTCATACCATGGACCCAGGGCCAACTCTGAAGTTGAAGTGAAATCCATAGTGGACTTCATCAAGAGCCATGGACAAGTTAAGGCTTTCATTACCCTCCATAGCTATTCCCAGCTGCTCATGTTTCCCTATGGATATAAATGTACCAAGTTAGACAACTTTGATGAGCTGGTAAGTCTCTGAAACATTTTAGCCTAGTAACAACATTTATTGTCTGGCCAAATAAGTTGTAGTCATAAAGTTTGCCACTGAGGAAGAGGTGTACTAGTGAAAGGTCTCAAAGATGATGAGATCTAAGCCTAGCTACTGAGAAGATTTTGATGTCAAAGTTTGGACTTTCCTAACTGGTTTCCTTATGAAATTAAATTTATCAAGTTATTATTACTTTAGATGAAAAAGAACCTGGTTTTTAAAATTTTCTTCTTACCTCTCAGCTTCACAAATGCTAGGATTACAGGCAGGTAGAACCTTGCTGAGCGTCAGTAATTAGATCTGGCCATTAATTCTGTTGCTTAGGGGAATAAAAACCTCACTTGAATTTGTATCTGAGACTTTTGGACTGGTGGACCGATGCTCTTTGCTAGGTAATGGTGCTCTCTGTAATTCACCTAAAACTACTTTCTTGGAGCCATAATCTGCCATGACAATGTACTGGTATACAATGTAGGGCTCAAAACACTCTTTTTCCTCATTTGATTCTATCTCTCATTCCTGTCTCAGGAATAAATAAATTGGCCACAGCCTTAGATCACAGATGGTGACATCTCAGTAGTCTGTACACAATTGAGCAACAGTTATCCCCAGCTGAAGAGAATGTGCAGATAGTTCCAATTTGGCTATTAGAATTGGTTTTTGAAACTCATATGTTAGGGAGAAGCCCAGAATTAGGACCTTTTGGATATTTTACCTTCAAATAGATTATTGTCAGCAGCCTCAGGCAAAAAAGAAATAGATTAGTTCAATTCAGACATATCTTTTATCTCATCAGTTGGAGTTATAGACCTGTAGGGCAGTTTTCAGGGTTTTGATTTCACTTTTACCAAAGGGAGAGTAGGGAAAAAGAATGCCAGGATTGGAAGAAACCTAAAATATATTTTTATTTTTTGCCCTAAAATACAATTTCATTTTACTTTATTTTATTTTGCTAGTCCTGAGGCTTGAACCTAGGGTCTATGCGCTGTCCCTGAGCTTCTTTTGCTCAAGCCTACCACTCTACCACTTGAGCCACAGTGCCAATTCTACCTTTTTCTGTATATGTGGTACTGAGGAATTGAACCCTGGGCTTTATGCATGCTAGGCAAGCACTCTATCATTAAGCTATATTTCCAGCCCTAAAATATACTTTTTTTGGAGGGTTGGTCATGGGGCTTGAATAAAATACACTTTTTATAGATCCAGATAATCTTAAATTGTTCAAACCTGATGCTCAAGTGTCTACCAGATAGTCATTGAGTTGACCTATTTTATATTGGGGGTACAAATAGTTGCTAAAGGATTTTTTTGGTAGTTAAGTGTAGATAAGAGTCTTACAGATTTGTCTTCCTGGGCTGGCTTTGAACTGTAATTCTCAGATCCCAGCTTCCCGAGTAGCTCAGATTACAAGTGTGAGCCATGAACATTCCAGTTTGGACTTCTTTATAGAGAGCTAAAACCTATTCTCTGTGTCTTTTCCACCAGCTTTGGTTTATTAGCTGTTGTCGGTGAGCATGCAAGGTTCCCTTTGGGAGTTAGATCCATCAGTTAAGTGACCAGTAACTTGCTTCTCTGATATCTTGCCTTATTTTGTTTAAATAATCCCAAGTTCTTTAATGACTCACAATATAGGCTCAAATTCTCACACCATTCTCATGGCTGTTTTCTGAACATGATTTGGATTGCCTGTATTCTCCAAGGGCAGATTCTAAAATGAATATGAAACTTGTGCTGAGGGTTAACTAGTGCAGAGAGGAGCATGGCTATAAACATTGTCATCCAGACGTGCACTTCTGCTAATGCAGTTGAGGGTCACATTAATTTTTTGGCAGTAGCATCATGGTGTTGACTCATGTTGGGCTCATTGACAACTGAACTCCCCCCCTCCCCACCCCCAGCTCTCTGAGGCTTCAGTTGAGCCAGGTTCCCTCCATCTGGTAATTGTAGAGTTGTTTTCCTGGACCCAAGTTCAAGACCTTACATTTATCCTTAGCAAGGACAGTAAAGCCTCAATCAGTCAAAATTGGAACCCTCAAGTAATGGAAAATATGTTGCTGAGCTCTACTTCTTGGAAAAAGAGACAATCACAGGGAAATAAGCCAAAGTAAGGATGTAGTTTAAAAAAATCAACTTTCTGGGTACATCCTGGGGTTAATATGCATTCTCTTTAGTTCCCTTATACCCATCCAGTTTCTGCCCACACTCCTGAACAAAGAGAGGTAAAATAATGAAGCACAGAGGACTGAAAACACCTGGGTGATTAAACAAACAACGAAACTTTTCATGTTGTATTTCTAAAGACCAAAAAAGTATACCCGTGCTTACTTCTCAGTGAAAGTGACTGAAATGAAAAGGGTATATGCTTCTGTCTCAGTTAACCAGAACTTCCAGTCTATATTCATCTATTGGGCAGACAAGTTCTTGAGACAGCCGTCATTCTCTCATCTTTTTTTGGTTATTTCCCTCTAGGATGAAGTGGCCCAAAAGGCTGCACAGGCTCTGACTGGCCTGCATGGCACCAAATATAAAGTGGGACCAATCTGCTCAGTCATCTGTAAGTATCTTATTGTGCTGCAGTTTTTACAAGTGAACCACTAAGAAGATAGGTACCACGTGAGCTGGGACTGAAGCTTTTCTAATCTTGACCTTTGTTATTGCTGGTTTTTTTTTTTTTTTGGGTCCGGTCGTGGGGCCTAAACTCTGGGCCTGGGCACTGTCCCTCAGCTCTTCAGCTCAAGGCTAGCGCTCTACCACTT